GGGTTGTCGTCAACATAATTCAACCGTCGCATCGGTGCATTCAAACGAGGAAAACAGTTTCATCAAAAACAGTTTGTTTTAAGCTTATCTGATAACGAGATGTCCGCATCTTCATCCTCCTCCGAAAGAGAGTCAACACCTGACTATAAGCCGTTGAAAGAAACGGAGACGCGTTGAGAATCGTTCAAAGAATATCTTTGCGAAATTTCGGTTCTTCAGAAAGCAATCATCTCACAAGCAATGATGATGACATTAGCGACTGTGATAGAGTGATAAAACTGCTCAACTCTTCAGTGTATCACTTCAGAGATATTCCACTCGACCGGTATGTATTGGCTCGGTGGTAAACAGGATACCGTGGAATCAGCGTGGTACTGGCAAGATAACTCAACGTTCAACTATATTAATTGGACTCCGGGTGAACCAAACGGCTTATATAAACCATTTCCGATGTGTTTATTGGTCAATTATGGAATTGGCTGGGATGATAATACTTGTAGTGAAGCGATGTTTGGAGCGTGCAGTTTCATATGCAAAAAGAATGCGAGTTCGGCTCCACTCAACAAATTCGAATCAATTGAGGAAACACAAGGACACGCGGAAACAATCTTGCACCCTAAAGGGCGCTTCAGTAGTCCTATGTATTCAGGAGGAGATCTCTAGAAACGAACTTGAATAAAGCTTTGCTTCTGGCTTAATAATTATGCTAATCGCATTAANGTGAATGAGCTTAGTTGAAAACAGCTGAGGTGTGCAGGTTTGGTTTCTATCTCTCAGTGTGCTTGGCGACGACATAAGAATGGGTTCAAATCAAGAGTTCGGATTTAAAATCCAGTGGTGTGTGAGAGGGGGTTGGCTAGAGGGGTTCTTTCCAACAGAGAGAAGGCGATGAGCTTAAAGAGTTCGGTGAAATATGTCACTCACTTCTGCAAGAACTGTACGTAAAATGCTACTTTTGAATGCTATTCACCATTCAGAATATGAATGAAAAAAATAGCCATCGCGGCGATGCAGCCACGAATGCTTATTTGATGTGGTGTTTAATGATATACTTTTTAGGCACGTAAAATTGGTTGCTGTATGCACGTTGGCTAATAAAAATAAATGATGAGTGCGATTGACGTTGTGTTTGTATCCTTGCATTTAAGAGATTGATGCATTCTAATGTTCAGAATCTTGACCACTTCCCTCGCAAAGGATTAGCTGAGATTCCGAACACTACACAGAGTTGAGATTTAGGCAAAACATATTAAAATCATTCAAATGCTGAGTCCCGTTCAAACAGACGTCCACCGCTCGTGATCACCTTCCTGAGCCCTGATCCAAAAGCAGTACCTCTTCGACTTCCGCAACATGGAGATTTACCATTCTAATTCCCCAAAAACAATGTAATTCCCGTTTGTGAGTGATCGATTGACCGCACATCTCAGATTAAGCTAACAAAAACGTAAACAACATATCGCTTAAACCCCATATTTCGGAACCGTCTACATGACATCTATAGCTAATAGAGAGGTGAATCTCGAACGATAGCAGAAATTTCAGTAAGTTATGCCTTTTGCAGGTCTCGGTCGGTGTGCAACAGACGACATCAATAGAACGAAACAGACAATGACGATAGAACGGTAATCAATGTGAAAAGGTAGAGATGCACTAGAGAAAGGAATCGCATCCTAAACGCTGAACGGGTCTTAACACATTTGAAAATATCGTTCACAACGCACACAAATCAACATACGAAGTGTTATGATGACAGAGAGCTAAGGTTATCAATAACAGATATGATAGCTAAAAAAAATGATAAGGTTGCTAACAACACTCCTCATACTACTCATAGATACAATGCTAGCGGCACTTCAATCGTTGATCAATTACTCAATCGAAGGCAAAAACTGATAGTGACCAAAATTGACTCAAATAAAATGTCATTTAATATTGATGTATTTTTGGCTTCGCAAAACCAATTTGCATGTTGCCGAAATCGTAGACGTGGCAATATTGGCGCAGGAACGGAGTACCGAGGACCACTTGTGGTCCCAATCCCGTGCCGTCCATCGACGACAACGTCAGCACGCAGATATTTTCAGTTATCTGTAAATTGAATCGTCATAACCTTGACGTCTATGATTTGATAGATAATTCTTTTTCTGCTAAGATCTCCTAAACTTACTAAGGCGTATACCACTTATTTTAATGTTCAACTTTCTTCGAATCATAACTGTATTATTTCGTTTCCACCAACGACAGCAATGATGGCCCATAGCTTAAGAGAGCAATTCTAAAGTACTTAGGGACCTGAGAGCAGAAAACCAACAAAACACCCCAATTGTGGGTTCGTAATAAATTTCAATTGAATATAATCCATGAATTATACTTGCATTCCAAAATAAATGAACCCGATGAAGAACCGAGATGTTGGACGGAAGAAAATTTTACTCAGCTTTTAACACTCCACCGAATGTTCGGAAATTTTAAGGATTTTGAGTGAGGACCGCACTGATGAGCTCAGATGTGATTTCGACTCTAAACAATGTGCTCAGCAATGAGATGAAAATGCGTAAACCTGATAGAAATAGTTGATCGGTTCAATTTCATATATATGATCACCAATTTCTATTTTGATGTTTTCGGTGAGTCCGGAACAATTGGAAAAGAAGACATCGTTTTCTGCATCATACTGAAATGCAATGGAACGAGCCTCATTTAATAATGTTAGTTGACAAACATAAACTCTTATAGCGGATGCGTTGCTCTGTGTTCGTTCAGCAAAACGAATATCATATAAATCATTTCAATCTCACCCGCGCACCAAGTTCGTTCACTATTGAATTGATCAACATGGATGGTCCTACAATGAACGATGAGCCAGTATCGGACAGGACCTCGTAGCTTGGCGCATCACTACGGTAAGTACCTAACGAGATCGATTTCATAGTGAACTGCCAATGGGTGGCCGACGAGAGTGGTTCATACACGACATCACTGTTGCAGTTGTTAGTGTCCACTCCACCCCAAGTGCATATTCCACCAAGAAAATTGTCCTTTAAGTTTAGCGCAATACGTATCGTTGATTTATTTGACTTACATTAGCTGATTTAGTTGATAGTTGATTTACATTAGCAAATTGCTGCAATCCATTAGAATCTCATAGGTCAAGGATACATAATGGAACTCCTCAAAAGGCTTCTTTAATTTCACAACAACCCATCAGAGTGTTTCGAAATTCTTTCAACCACTGTGAAATTCTGCTAGCTCAGCCTGTTTGTCGATTAAGTTTGTCGAGGCGTTTGGAAGAGAGGAATTCGTACTAACCATTCGCTGAAGCCAAACGGTAAAAACGGGTTGATCGAGAAAACTTTGATTCCAGGCGTTGGCCAACGGTGGCAAAAATTCCCCAGCAGCGGTCGATTGAAATCCGAGACCAAGAATTCCATCTATTTCGAGATCTTTGAACGCGTCACTGATTTTCATCGCTTGACCAAATACCGTATTCGGTATCCATATTTGAGGCCCTCCTTTTCCACCGATCTGAAATTTTTCAGTAGTCTTGTGAATATGAATAGGATTCTTGAGAAATCCTCAATTTTTTGCTAATTGTAAGTTCATTATTTCTTCCAACTGAATATGGTCAAATTTGATCACCGACGCATATGATCGAATAGCAGAGATCAAATTGCTTCATACTCACTACAGAGCAATACATTCGAACTTTGCTATGTGTTGGCCCTCGTGAGTGGTCAAACTGCCTAAAGACATCTTGCCTATCGATACTTTGCTTAAAGACATTTCATTTCGCCTCATCAGACTTTTTGTCAAATGAGACATTTTGCTTAATACGCGTACGAGATTGCTAGACCCGCCCATTTAGACGAGCTTGAGGTGTTCATCTCGTAGCTTCATCTGTTCATAGCTGTGAAACTTAGGCTTAGATTTTGGCTTTGGCTTTTGCTTAGGCTTGAGATTATGTTTAGGCTTAGGCTTAGGCTTGTCCCATGATCTTCTGAATTAGCGGGCCTAACAATCTCATAGGCGCATTAGGCAAAATGTTCGTTAGATAGTACGTCCCACTTGTCGCGAAGATCGCGATATAACGCTGCTTCAAACATTA